TAATGACTGCTATAGCTTCTGCCTCTCGGAAAGCTCCCTCCATAACTCTCTCCTGGTTTAAAGGAGGTGAATCTACTATTTCATTGCCTTCAAAGCTCAGTGAGCTTCGATCCACATGAACTGACTTCTGTTTGATGTTGTCTGAACAGTGTCTTTTATATTTCATACAGAATATCTGCTCTGCTGTCAGATGAGGGTAAGGGGTTAGTGGGTTAGTCAGAACTTGTCTTGTAATGTATCAGTGTGTCCGCTGAGGGGCGCTATTTTTTAAGACAGAGAGTTCACACCATTCACACACACAAACACACACACACAGTAATGAACATGTGAACTCTTCCTCCTCCTGATGACGTCACACTGAATACAATCTAAAACTAATGATACTAATTATAAAAGTCATGATAATTATATTATATAATTATTTTAAATCATTTGGCTTCACTTTTATTTTTCTGAAAAAATCTGAAATCTTTTCTTACTGAAACATTATCAATCAATCATTCCTCATAAGTGAAACCTGATCAGATATGAATGAACTTTTTAATCTTCCTGTTTGATGATGTCACGCCACTGACACAGATGAGTCGTTGGTCGTCCTGACGACTGAACTTGGACTGAGTGAAGCTGTGGGTGTGATGAAGAGTCACAGTCTGTGGTGGAGGTGGTGTCAAGGTGATCAGGCCTTCCCTCAGCACTGACGTGTCTTGCCGTAAAAAATAGATCCTTCTCTCTGATTCATATGACGACTCCTCTCATCGCGTTTCTCTTCACACCAGCGCATCTCCATCACAGAAACTAAAATACAACTTCTTTAGTGAGGTGATGAAAAGAACCTCAAAACAAACATTTACATTTATCAATACTTTTTTTTAAATTTAATTCAATTCACTCATATTCTATGATTTATACATTTTTTTCAATTTAACATTTCTTTAAAAGATGATCTGACAGAGATTAAACTGAGATTAAAACTAATATTCTTCTGAGGTTAAAACTGAGGTGAGAATGGGGACATCAGAAGTAGTGGCGGGAGGATTATCCTGTGTTCAATCAGTTAATCAGATTTTATTTGTACTGTCTCATTTTCACAGTTTGTCTCATAGATCTAAGTTCAGTGTGTAGAATTTAGTGACACCTAGAGGTAAAGAGTCATGTTGCAGCTGAATACCCCTCGTCTCACCCTCCCCTTCCAAATATGAAATAGGTGTGAGGGTTATTCAGCCGTAACATGACACTTCACCACTAGATGTCACTAAATTCTACACATTGAGCCTTTAATGTGTAAAAGAGGAAGAAATGGAAAAAGAAGCTCCATGTGTCATAGGGTTATGACATTCTAGACCTCCAGCAGCAGAACTAAGAGCAGGTCCAAGATAAACCTGGGCCAATTCTAACTAAACCTTTATCATGAAGGAAGTTTGAATCTTAAACGTAGAGAAGGAGTCTGCCTCCAGAACTGAACCTGAGATGATTCCACAGGAGAGGAGCTTGATGCTGAAAGTTCTGGCTCCTCCTCTACTTTTAGAGACTTTGGGAAAACAGACTGAATTCTGGGAGCTCAGGGCTCTAGTGGTGATATGGTACGATGAGTTCTTTAAGGTTTGATGCTGCCGTTTTAGTAATGTAGGTGAGGAGGAGAACTTTAAATTCTAAATGCAATAGTAAGCCAGTGTAGTGAAGCCAGTACATGTGGTCTCTGTTCGTGGTTCTTGTCAGGACACGTGCTGCCGCATTTTCGACAAATTGCAGAGTAACGACTCCCTGCTGGAGCCTGATAAGAATAACAATAATCAAGTCTGGATGGGACAAAGACCTGGACTAGTTTTTCTGCATCTTTTTGAGACATGTCTGATTTTTGAGTGTTAGAGTATCCTAGTAGAAGCATATATAAAGAGAATAAAACTGGGCCGAGCACAGAACCCTGTGGAACACCGTGGTTAACTTTGGTGTGCACAGATGACTCATCATTAATTTACTCAAATTGGAATGGATCTGATAAATAGGATTTAAACCAGTTTAAGGCAGTTCTTTTAATTCAAATGAACTGTTCTAGTCTCTGTAATAAACTGTGATGATCAATAGTGTTGAATGCTGCACTGAGATCTAACAGGATAAGGACGGACACAAACATCTGGAGCTATGAGAAGGTCATAAGTGACTTTGTCGCTGTGCTGTGATGAGTTCTAACACTGAAAGTCTTCACATGACTTTCCTGGAGAAACTCTCACAGCTGATTGGCTCCAACCTTCTTGAGGATTTTAGACAGGAAGAGGAGGTTGGGGGGTTTGATTACAGCTAGCTTAAGTCGTTTTTATTAAGGGCAGAATTTCTTTAAAGGTCCAGTGTGTAAGATTTAGATGAAAGGGAACTATTGGCATGTAGAATAATCCTCATGATGTTTTCACTAGTGTGTTTCATCTAAATTGTATGAATTGTAGTTTTCTTTGATTTAAATACTTTATATTTACATAGAAGGGATCCTCTCTACGGAGACCACCATGTTTTTACATTAGTCCAGACTGAACAAACTAAACACCTTTTGAGTTTTTATAACAACTGAAGCTACAACAGGTTCTTTTTCATGTTTGGAAGGAGAGGATTGGTGTTCAGCTGTAACATGACGCTTCACCACTAGATATCACAAAATTCTACACACTGTACCTTTAAGTAACTTGGTAGGAATGTGATCTAAGATACAAGTTTTAGATGATGAGATTATTGAGGTCAGCTGATCAAGAGTGAGCAGAGAGTAGCTGTCTAAATAAATAACAGGCTTATCAGCTGTTTCTGAGATTATCTGTGTTTGATTGTGTATTAGTTTCAACTGAGGGCAGGAGATTGTAGATTTTATTTCTAATAGTTATAATTTTATCGTTAAAGAAGATCATAAAGACGTTGCTGTTCAGGGAAGGAGGAATACTGGGTTGAATGGAGGTGTGACTCTGTCAGTTATAGAGCTGAAGAGAAACCTGGGGTTGTTCTTATTTTCTTATATTCATGTGGAGTAGTAGGCAGGTCTGGCTTTGTGGAGGGTTTTGGGTTAAAGTGGGAGATGAAGCCGCTGTGTCAGGCTGCCAAATGCTGTGGCACTCAATGCTGAATGAATTGCTCAAGATTAAAGTGAGATTAGGACTGAGTTTAAATGTGTCCTTTTTTGGACAGTAAACTATACTTTACCTTTACACTCTGTATTGTACATATCTTAAGTTATAAATTAATTACAAAGAATGCTGAGTGTCAATAAAGTTGGATGTTCTCTGCACGGTGGTCCTCCTTTCCTTACGCCTTACAACCTTTCCTTAACAACTTTCTTTGACCTTGTCACATTTTCTGTCGACCAACCTCACATTTTGTTCTGCCTGGCCCCTAACCACTGGCTCCTGATCATCAGCCCCTGACGTCCAGCTCCTTTACACACTGTTCTGGGATTGGACCACTGGCCTTCAGGTTAGGACAACCCACTCTACCTCCTGAACGCAGCTAAAATTAACCCTAACCCACCTGAAATTTACATCAAGTTTTACTGATGATGATTTCATATAGCAATCAGTTTTAAGTCCTGATAGCATAAAGGATAAAAAGTTCACCTTCAATCACAATACCACTTATTGGCAAAAGGAAACAACTCTTTTAACACTTTCATGTCCTCCTCCCAGTACATTGACCAAATCAGAACAGCCAAAAGACCATGTTGATTATTGTGAATTTTGTGAGTTCTCACAAAGCAGTAATGCCATGGCGGCTGGGCAAATTTAGATCCCTCTGCATGAAGACTTCAAGTAGTAGTGTAACTAGACCCAAAGGATTCAGATCTTTAACAAGCTTCACACATTTGATGAGATTCATAACCCATTTTGAATTACAATCATAGTGCCACCTACTGGCTTTAGTAGGTAATTCTGATATTACTCAGGTCGATTGAAACCATGTGGTCTCATCACCAATGCCAATTTACATTAACACCATTCATATAATTACGTCTTCAGATCTGTCTGTTATTTCACATTTGATAAGATGACAAAATATTAGACAATTAAAACACTTTGATGTTATCATGATTAAAGTTCCAACATGTTTTTAAATCTTTATTTACCACAAGTCCCACAACACCACAGAAGAAGAATAGGGTCATACAAGACGAAGAGAAATAGAAATCGAAATCTGGAAGAAAAACAAGACCAAATGATAAAATGGACAGTTATTTTAATGATTTAATGATGAACTGACTCACACACTTTAACTGATTCCCACTCATTACCTGACTCACACTCATTTACCAACTCAGACTTGTGACTCACACTCGTTAGCAGACTAACACTCATTAACTGACTCACACTAGTTAACGGACTCACACGTTAAAAAAATCAAACACATTAACTGATTCAAACTTGTAAAATGGATACTCGTTTACAAACCTACATTTGTTAACAGACTCACACTCATTCACTTACTGACTGTTACTTACTGTTTTGTTCTCTGTTGATATTTCAGAAAAATGTATACGTCTTCATCTTCAGCATCCACTGTCTTTGGCTCTCATCTAAATCATTTTAACTTTGAAGCTGGTCCAACATTTCCAGGAATCTTTACTTCAAAAATAATAATAATAATAATGATGATTATAATAATAATAACAATAATATATAAGATAAATGTTTGGCTCCAACAGCTGATTTAACAACATTTCTTCAAGTAACATTAGAGATTGGAGTTGAACCAGTCATCTAAACATCAAAAATAATTTTCTCACATTTTCTATGACAAATATAAACCAAGAAACAAACAATATAAAACACTGAAAAAACAACGGAAAAACCAAGTATGAAGACAGGAAACATTTGTTGCATAATATTCTCAGGTTGTTCCAATATGGAAAACAGTTTCTCATAATAAGAAAAACAACATCATCACTAAACATAAATACTTCAACAATCTTTTATGTGAAAGTGCTGATGTGATGTTTTTGTTTTCGAAGTGTTTCTAACTTCATGGTCAGGACTTTACGAGCAGCCGCATTCGTCCACAATCATGTTCTGAATATCTTTCTTGATGATTTTTTGCTCTTCGTTGTAGTAAAGCATCGACATAGCGCGCAGCCTCATTGGCACGCAGCAGGACTTGATATTTTGAAACGGGCCAAAGCCTCTCATGCGATAATGATTGATGACCGTTGAGTGGAAGGAGAGCGATGAGCTGCTAAGGCTCACCATGTGGTTCGGACAGTCGCCCTCACAGTAGTTGGCATGATAACCTGATGGAGCAATAATCCAGTCGTTCCAGCCAATGTCTTTGAAGTTTACATAAAACTGTCTTTTACAGCAGACGCGTATTTTTCCATCACACTCCAAACTACGTTTGACTCGTCGCTGCATCTTCTCCTCCTGAGCTCGGAGAGCCACCATGAGGAATGGTCGATGAGACTGATCTCGACCTCCTGCTCGCTCGCTGTTGGGAGGCATCAGGACATGTGAAACTCCAGCCTCCACACAAAGCGGACAGGAAACCTTCAGGCTGAGTGAGCTGCTTCCGCCATCCAACAGGTCCTGAACGCTGTGAGGGATGGGGAGGGTGTGCCAGCCGCTGCGACGGGTGTCCACCATCTTCTCTGAAACACATTCCTGCTCCTTATCATTGTCATGCTCATGCTGTAGCAGCCGCAGCAACACTTTGCGCTTTAATCGGTTTCCCTTTGACATTTTCAGAAAGATCCAGACATTGGCCTGTTCCACTACCACTGAGCCACTGCCCTCCTTCGAGATGTCAAAGGTCATCATGTTCTGAGAGTCACCTGTAGCAGAGAACACAGTTAGCATGGTAGCATATTAGCAGGAATGAACTTTTTCCATCAGCATGAAGATCTATCACAACCATAAACATTAATGTTAGTCTGCAAAATCAAAGACATGATCTGAATGATTAGGGTTACATTATTTTAGAGTTGAATGTACTGTGCGAAAACCTTTCACTGGATCAGTTGTTGAAAGCTTCACTTATTGTTTATTTAAGATTTGACTTTGACCTCTGACCTCAGTCTGATGATAAAAAATTTCAACTGACTACAGAGAATAAAACTTAATATTTTAAACAATCAAACTCAGATTTTCTCTTGAATTAAACGAAATGTATCAACATCAACAACCTTTGACCCCCTGTCTGAACTTCCTTTCATTTGAATGAACAAAGAAAATGTCATTAACAATAATACAGTGAACTGGGCCGCTGCCTCTAAATATACTCAACATGAGCTGAGACACTAAAAAAAGAAGAGGCCTGATTTCAGGGAACAAGGACACTAGTATCCCCCCCACCCCTGTGTTTAATTACTGAGGCCCAGATTCATCTGAATGAAATTATTCACGGCCTCAGATCACGCGGTATTCCACCCCAGCCCCCATCCCCACCCTACCACCACCCCCTCGTTACTGTCGGCAAAGCTTTTAATTAAAGAACTTTTCAGAAGAGACAACTATTTATAGCACAAAGCATTTATGTACATTTATGTAAGCAAACCAGTGACAGGACAGTGATTGTTCACAACATTGTTCACGTTCTCAAGAACATGAAAAGATTAAAAGCTGTTCCACTAAACTTCAGTTAATGATAATCATTAAAATAATGCACCAGATGTGTTCAGGTCTGGACAGATGAAAAAATTAAGCACAGGCTCTGTCTGATGAGTTTAATAATAACCTAAGAACCTTTTTTTACTGATTACAAACAAGTGAAGAGAATGGAAGAGGTGAAAATAAATGCCAACCTTAGTCTCAGTAAAATCAATTGAATTAGATACAAACACCCTCCCTCATCGCCCCAACACAAAATCTGTAAATTAATATTTTAACTTTTAACGGTAACAAGAAGTAACAGATGTAACGGTAACAGATGTAACAGTAACAGATGTAATGTAACAGATGTAACAGTAACAGATGTAATATAACGGATGTAATGTAACAGATGTAACAGTAACTGGTGTAACAGTAACAGATGTAATGTAACAGATGTAACGGATGTAATGTAACAGATGTAATGTAACAGACGTAACGGATGTAATGTAACAGATGTAATGTCACAGATGTAATGTAACAGATGTAACAGTAACAGATGTAAAGTAACCGATGTAACCGTAACTGATATAACATAACAGATGTAACAGTAACAGATGTAATGTCACAGATGTAATGTAACGGATGTAATGTAACAGATGTAACTGATGTAACATAACATATGTAATGTTACAGATGTAATGTAACAGACGTAACTGATGTAACATAACAGATGTAACAGTAACAGATGTAATGTAACAGATGTAACCGTAACTGATGTAACATAACAGATGTAACAGTAACAGATGTTATGTAATAGATGTAATGTCACAGATGTAACAGATGTAACAGTAACAGATTTAACTCCAGAAAAAGGGACAAAAGATAAAGTTAATGATCAATTTGATTCATGAAATGCGCTAAAAAATCTGTTTACATAATTATTCCTTGTGGTTAGTGAGACCTCCTCAAACTGTTCTACAAAATACTCACATTTCTAAATGATACTGTCACTTTTTATTGTTTTTGTGCTGTACATCATGTGAAGAGCTTTATCCCATCACTCTATGGTGCAAATTGAAATTAGAAAAAGTTGTGTTCATCCTATCGGCTTTATTTTGTCTCACGGATTTTATAGATTCTTTGTTATTGCTGACATGTTTCTCTTATGTTTGAATTAATTATTGAACAGCTGTTCATTTTTCATGCATTACATGTTGACTATTTCAGAGATTTTTTAAGTAATCAACACAATCTTCAGGGGCCAAGATCTACTGTTTCTACTGTTTCTTCTGTTTCTACTGACTCAGATCTACAGGTTTGCCTGCAGTCAATCAATTTCTTTTATGACAAAAAATCATTCAGCAGCTGAAGGTCAACAGACAGTAGAAATAGTAAGTAGCTAACTGTAAACATGTTCCTCTGAGCTGGTGAAATTGAAAGATGACCTGAAGGTTTATGATTGGCATTCAGACTCACCAGGCTCTGCAAAGATGATGATTTCTGACGGTGGTTCAGGTGGTGTTGGAGCCCCAGGGACCCAGCCCTCCTCCTGGATCTCAATGCTGCCGTCTTTGCTCACGTGGCCCACGTGCAGCTTCTTGATGGCGTTGAGCAGTGCGGCGCGAGGGACCGGCTGCGTAAGGTTGGGTCTGTTGCTCAGGTGCAGCATGTTGAGAATGTGACGCTTTACCACCTCGACCACGTCACTCTCTCCCCCTGATGAAGAGATGTTCCTCTTCATTAGAGACAGAGAGCAGGATGGACAGTCGGTGGAGGACACTAAATCGACCTCAGGAGCTGGAGAGATCGCCGAGGAGGAATTGACCAGGAGGATGACAGCCACAAAGAAGAACAGAGAAGACATGACAGGCTCTGAATCAGAGTCAGTAGAAATAGTAGATTGAATGTCCGTCTCTGCTTAAGAGACTCACAGAATCCCTCAGATCAAATCCTCAGTGACTCAGTAGAATCCAATATCAGTTGAATCAGTCGAGTCTCTGATGTTTGAAAAAGTGAAAACAAACAATAGAAACAGAGTTCTGCAACAAACTGTTAAAACCCATAAACTGTCAATTGGTCTATGGTTCTGGTCCTTACTTGGTTTTTAGGTCCTCAGACTGAGGTCCTCAGTCAGTTCCTGATTAGTTGATTGTTGCAGATCTGTTCCTAAGTCTAGTTCTCTGAGCTTCTGTCGTTTCTATCTTGTCCTGGTGGTTCCAGTCCTTGGGGTTCTGTTAAAGGTGGTTCTGGTCTTGGTCTCAGACTGGTTGTCTATGGTCCTGGTGTCCAGTGCTAGGTCACTCTTTCCTTCTCTCTGCTAAGATACTGTAATTATACCTCTCTGTCTGTTTAATCCCTCCCTCTGTCCACAGAGGTATTTCCCTGTGAGTCACACACACACACACACACACACACACACAGTGAGTAAACTGTTTGCGGTGTTTCCTCCTGAATGAACATCACGACAGAAGAGGAGGGAGAAGAGTGTCCCTGATTCTCATACCACACACACATACACACACACACCCACAGACACACTAAAACACACTGATGACTCAACTCAGTGTCATCATCACCTCACGTGGAGGAGAAACTGTGAAATTAATTTTTAGACTGAAACAAGATTTTCTGTTAAAAACAGTGAACAGAGCAGATGGACCTTACACACACGCACACACGCACACACAGTGACATCAGTAGGCCCTCTGGTGGTTGGAGTCAGATCTTAAACCCTTCTCACCTGAGACGTGTCCTCTGATTCACCTTCTGTACTTTTGTCGTCATGAACTGGTTCAGACTTCAGGGGCCTCAGGGGCATTAAATGTTCATATGGAGAGAAACATGAGCTCAGCAGAAAGACTACATTACAGATGATGATGATGACGAAGATGATGATGGTGATGATGATGATGATGATATTTCCCATTGGCAACAAGTGCACAAAAGATACGTGAAATTGTGTTTGACCTTAGCACAGCTGATGTTTCCAGAGAGATGTTCAGCTGCAGTCAGATAAACAGACAAACAGGAAGTTGTTTAGGACATAAATCTTGAAAAATGTTCGTGTGAAAATCTTTTTTTATTGTGTTTTTAATGAATGTGTATTCATACATATATATTTTTAAATCATTTCTTTGGATTATAGATTTGTAAAGGAAGAAAAACTTTAGATACATGAATCTTAACATCTTCCTGAATGTTTTATAAAACATAATATTTTATTTACGTGTAGAAAAGAGTGACTGGACATTGTTGCGACTCAGTGACGCAACAGGAAGTAGAAAGTGTCCCACTTGACGCACGCACACACACGCACAGACCCCTCCCCCTGTCAGCAGCTCTCTCCGTTAATCCGCTTCTCTCTCTCCCTCTCTCTGTCTATCTCTCTCTCTCTTTGCGGTCATTATGGCGGAAATAAAAACAGGAATATTCGCTAAAAACGTGCAGAAACGTCTAAACCGCGCACAAGAGAAGGTAAGAGAGGAGGATGGATGGAGGGTGGATGGAGGACGGATGGAGGACGGGGGGAGGTGGAGATGTAGCTGGCTGAGGCCTGTGCAGCGTCTCTCTCTCTGATAATCAGCTGTTCTCTCGTCGATGTGATCAGGATGACGTGGTTCTCGATGTTTGTTTATCAGATATTGATTCGCACGAACATGACGTCATCATAAGTTTGATAAATCATAAAAACAATAATATCATCGGAAACGGGCGGAGCACTTTGATTGGCTGAAGCTGACGAAGGATTAACAGTGTGTGGGTGTGGGTGAGTGTGGGTGGGTGAGTATGTGTGTGTGAGTGTGTGTGTGAGTGTGTGTGTG